TCACAAGAAGGATATGCGAAAGAAATTCTAAAGAAATTCAATATGGAGGACTGTAAGCCCGTATGCACCCCCGTCGAATGCGAAATCAAGTTGTCGAAGAATGATGAAGGTGAAAAGGTAAATCCAACACTTTTTAAGAGTCTTGTTGGGAGTCTAAGATATTTGACGTGCACAAGACCAGATATCCTTTTTGGAGTTGGGCTCATTAGTCGCTATATGGAGACACCTACCATGACCCATATGAAAACTGCAAAGAGAATTCTTCGCTACATCAAATGTACGCTTGATTATGGCTTAGTCTATTCATCATCTAATGAGTTCAAACTTGTTGGATATAGTCACAGCGATTGGGGCAGAGATAGTGATGATAGAAAGAGTACGACTGGGTACGTGTTTTACTTGGGCGACACAGCTTTCACTTGGAGCTCAAAGAAGCAATCGATCGTAACACTATCTACATGTGAAGCTGAATATGTTGCACCTACATCAAGTGTTTGCCATGCGATTTGGCTTAGAAACTTGTTGAAGACGCTTGGAGTATCACAAAAAGAGCCAATCGAACAAATCGGCATTAGCAATGGCAAAGAACCCAGTATTCCATGATAGAAGTAAGCACATTGATACAAGATATCACTTCATAAGAGAAAGCATTGTAAAGAAAGAAGTGCAGCTGAAATATGTAACCTCCCAGGAGCAGATCGTCGACATTCTCACTAAGCCACTCAAGCATGATGTGTTCCGCAAGTTAAGAACTCCACTTGGAGTATCAAAATCAAGTTTAAGGGGGGATGTTGAGTAGTAAACTTGATTTTTGGACTAAATAATATGGGCTTAAGGATTTTGCTTATAGGCTCAAATCAATTAAAAGGTCCAACATGCATAGCATTTCTAGAAGCATTATCTAGAAAAATCTATATAAATATCTACTAGAAAAATCTATATAAATATCTAAGTAAGATATGTAGTTTTATAAAGAATATCTAGAGAATTCTAGGAAAATATCTTGATATGTGGTCTAGGTTTCTCTAGAAAATGTGTGGACTAGAATCTTCTTGTAAACACTATATAAAGGGGTTGTATCCTCCATTTTGTAACAAGCCAAAAAGTGTGTAAAGTCTTGAATTTGAGAAATACAAGTTTCCTTTTTTCACTTCCTTCTTCCTATTAGTGTTGTCCTCTTAAAAGTCTTAGCTAATCCAAGTTAGTAAACCCATCTTTCCTCCAACAGGGTTATAGCAAATCAACTGGTTTAGCTCGCACACATTTATGTATGAAATTAAAATGGGACCTTGGATCCTTCTCTGCCGAATCAAAAAAACCTAACGCCATTTGCATTGAGAATATTCATATTTGCTTCAGGATAGGGCTCCAGGTACGAGTATCCATTGTAGCATCATAGCGTTAATTTAGTTTATTTCATCAATAATTAAACTAAAAAATGAAGAGATGATTGAATTAATGTTGGGCCCGAGGTACGGGGACTCGTACTCTGGTAAATTCTGAAACTGATTAATACACTTACAATCTTTAATTTTGCATGCAAATGTAGAACACCTTGTGGTACCTTGACAATCTAGTAAGAATCTGCACATTCAATAGGTTGGGTCTAACATATAGATTGACTATATTCAAAGGGTGTTAATATTTTGAAAGGATGATATTTAAATTGTCTAGACAGTCGCAGAAATTTCTGATAACATTAGAAATACAAATACCTATTCAATCTTATCTAGGTTGATTTATACTAGATCTAAAATTTACGACTTCATAATCACAAATTTATGTATACATTTCCAAATTCATGGAGGACTTCAGCTTATTTAAGAAGTGCAGCATTGGCTTCACCATCCTTGGCTGATGCATCAATTGCACTCTCAATTGTCAAAATCTGTATGTTTTGTTGCTCAAAATATTGAAAAGAAAATCAAGACTCACGTTATACAATAGTTTATTCTACTCGAATTAAGCTATAGACATCTGATTAATCATCTAAGTGAAACCTCTTCGTTATTGATTACTAAGAAACACGAAATTTGACTTGAGCCCATTGCCTTTCATATTCAGAGAACCTTCTCTTTTTGTAATCTGAAAGTTTCATTCAAGGTCAACAATTTAACTTCAACTATTTACGGCTGTATCGTTTTTATCATCTGAATTTGATTTACAACACAAAATTGGTGCTTCAATGGGCGATTACCGTGTTCTGCTTCGAGAACGGTGCGCTTGAATGAATTTTTTGCTTTCAAAATAGCGTATTTGTTTTCTAATCATGGCACATTCAAATTATAGATGTTGTGATCAAAAATTTGTTTTTGGTTTTGTAGAGTATTTTTTGCCATGAGGGCCCAAGTTCTCTCTGTCCAGAAACATGGAGATCTTGCAATAGATTTTAGGAATAATTGCTGCAAAAGTTTCAAATCTTTGAAACATTGGCAAACTTTCTCATAACCTTTCAATCGTTGTAGCTGTCAACCCTAATCTTCCAACTATTGCATGTGAGGCCTTTTGGATGGTTTTAATCCACAATTCCGTTAGTTAACTAAGGATGGCAATGGCTCAACTCGACCCTTTTACCCACGAGCTCGGCTCGTGCTCGTGACAAGCCGAGCTAGTGCTTGTTGCTTGAGGGGCTAGCTTGATTCGATACTCGAGCTAGTGATACGTGGGCTGAGCCGAGCTTGGGTTGGCTAGCTCGCCAATTTTTTATTTTTTTAAAAATGCTGAAAATAGATAAAACAATTGAAAACTATGTTTTTTTTAAACAAAAAATAAATAAACCAAGCAAAAAGATTTAATTAAAATGATTTTTTTCTTTTTCATTTTAAAATAGATAAAACATAAATCCTCCTCCTTTATCTGGATTTGGGATCAGGTACTTAAATTTTAAGTATGCATTGTTAAAAATTGTACACAAACAACTTGTAATGTGTACAATTTTTTAGAGACAATTAAAAACAGTACTATAAAATAACTAATGTAACTAAATATCACTTACTTGACGACATACAATTTTGGCATATTTATCTTGTGTTCTGAAATGAACGTCCTACCAATTCTTAATACACATTAATGCTTTCAAAATATCTTCTTTCAATCGGCTCCTCACCTCAGACAAAACCCTTTTACCTATACTAAAAGCAGACTCCGAAACTACATTGCTAACCAGAGATATCAGTAAATCTTTTACAATTGCGAAAACTACTGGCCATCGTCGTTCGTACTTCCACCAGAATTCAATAACATCTTCGGAACTCTTTTTAATTGTTTTATTGGTATGCATATTTTTATTAAAATAATCAATTAATTTAGTAGGCAATGTATTCATACTTCCCTCCGATGTTTGGTTAGATGTAGATACAATAGACAAAGTATTACTAGATGGATATGAACCTATTGCATTTAAATCATACCCATACGTGTTAATACCTTGAAATAAATTAAATATTCCAGCATCATCTTCTTCAAGTTCAGCAGAAGGAGTGGGCACAAAGGGTACTCGACTAATATATGTACCCATTCGTTCAGCATGTAATTCATACATTTCACATAAAGTTTGTTCTAAATTTCAATATGTGGTAAGTGCACTAAAATTTAAAGCTTTAGAAATTTGATCAATTATATATTTAGTTCTTGATAAATTATATTCAGGGTCCATGATGTATGCTAAAGGAAATAATACTGATAAGTCTTCCCAATATTTTATAAACTTCAATTCCATAGAGTATATAATTGCATTAAAATCGAGATTATTTTTGTATTTATGAAAGGTTCTTGCAATTATATAAAGACGTTTGAGCAACATACAACAATGAGACAGTAAACTCCAGATAAAATATTTGTACAATCATAAAAACTTGTCAAAATTTTTTTAACTTTTAAAGCTAAAAGCCAATCGGATTCATTTAGAATAGTGTCGTCATCGTTTCTAATATGCCTATTGTTGTAAAACTCAGTTATTAAATGTTTAAAACCTTCGTATGACTTTAATATAAGTAAGTAGAGTTCCATCTTTGACCTACGTCAATAACAAATGTTTTAGCATTCGTCACCCCAAATTCGACACAAAATTTCTCAAATGCTTGTTTTCTATTAGGGGAGATCGTGATATGTATTAGTGCATTCATAATTCTTTATATTTCATATTTAATATGTTTCAAATCATCTTGTACAATTAAGTTTAAAATATGGCACATATAACGAATATGAAACAAATAACCATCAAAATTAGGCTACAATACTTTACACAATTTATCGATAACTATTTTATTAACACTAGCTTTGTCGAATGCAAAAGAATGAATTTTGCTTTCGCAACTATATTTTTTAATAATAGTGATAATCGCATTATATATATTATTAGCGTTATGTGGAAATTTGATAATTTTAAAAAGTAATAATTTTTTTATGCATACATCTAAGTGGGTCAATGTATTGTGCAATTACAGCTATATAAACTCTTTTATTAATCATCTCCCATATATTCGAAGTTAAAGATATAACACCACCATATTCTTGCAAATCCAAAATTAAATTTTTTTTGTTTTAAAAAATTGTGTTTGAACGAAGAGTGTTTCGACTTACCCTAATGTACCTCGGTTGAAGATATTATTTTACATATGAGACAAAATGTTGGTTGTCCGCTATTGCAAGAGGTAACTCAGCACCAGCAATAAGTTTCATGTTCGAGTATTCTCCTCTAAATACATCCACGTGGTGAGGAGCGAAGTTGTAGTACCGGCGCCTGAACTACCAAATTGCAGTTGTGTTTGATTCGGCTTGAAGAAGAAGTCCATGTTTGGCCGTACACACTTTGTAGTGGCGGTTGAGGTGGGTGGTACCAATGTCTTTTTTCCATACCAATCGTTGTTGGCAATATTTACATACTTCTTTAGATTCTGGGACTCCATCAACAATACGGCCTATCGAAATCAATTAGAAGTGATCCCAATATTTTGGCTTTTTTTCCCCTTTCGCTTCATTTTAGCATCAGGAATGTTTAATTCGGATTCCTTCTCCTCTTATTCTTCTTGGGCTTCGAGAAAATCGATGTCATCCAAATCAATTGGATTATTGGCTCGCACCCAAATGTAGAATATCTTTAGGAATTGATATTTCATTTATACCGAAAAATTGATTATGAAATTGACTTTGTGACATCGCAAGTGATTCGCCTTCGAAATTGAACAAGCACTCGACAAATAAGTGTAGTTCCATTTTAATTTGTGAATTGTAATGATACAATATAGATTAATAGATGATATAAGAAAATGATTGAATTGTAAAAATGAATTGAAATTGAAATTGAAATTGAAGATGATTAAATTGTAAAGATGAATCTATATATGACTATATTTTATAATTGTAGACTAAGTGATGTATTCAATTGAGATTTTTAATGATTTTTTGAGATTTAAAAAGTTTAGGGGTATTCAATTGAGACTCTTTAATAGTCATGGTGTATTCAAATGAGACTTTTATAGATTTTTAAAAAGTCTCTAAAAATTACGATGTATTCAATTAAAACTTTTTTAAAAGTCTCTATAAGTTTTGGGGTATTCAAATTTTAATGACTTCTAGAGATATTTATAAAAGTCTATGGAATA